CCCTGTCCTTCTAATCTTGGTCATCCCACAGTTTGTCATGAGCAACCCTGGTATTATACCCCTCTCCCTTCAAGCCCATATCTCTGTGTGTGTCTTTTTTTGTGTATATATAGTCTGATCTGTGTCTAGATCTGACAAACTTCTAATTTTAGCTTTCTTTTCACATTTCTGGGGCTAATTTCACTTTTGACTGGGTCTCCGAATGCATCACACTTGAGATGTGAGTGGTCACTTCTCACAGGGACAGTCAGTGGAAATCACAGCTTGCTTTTGCTCAGAGTAGGCTTTGGACCTTATAATCCTTAAGGTTAATTGCTGTTACCTCCAGAAAGACAGACAGATCATTCCCTGTCATTTGTTTCACTCTGGAAACAGCCGCATCCACTAACTAGGTAAATTAAGTCATAGTAGTCTACTTCAGAGGATGTGGAGTTTTAGAGTACAGAGCACAAGCTGACTTCCTTGCTCCAAAGCTTAGGAAGCAAGAAGAGGCCAGGACTGCCTCATACACAGTCACAGAGCTCTCTCAGGCTCTGTTTCCCATTGGTCTTCCCAGAGAAAGTTTCTGTACAGTTGCTGTCATCCTTTTACCAACTCAGACTACATCCACACCACTAAATAAAAAAGATCCAGGAAATAAGCTTACGCATGACACCCTTGGTCATGTGTATTGCTTAATTGTTGGCTCACTTCCCAGCCTTTTTTGGACCACTCCAGCTACTGCTTTCCTATTGAAAACCTGGGTGTGACTCGGGGAGAATTTTGCTTTATACACTGTTAGCAAGAGACAGTACAGGTGGGTCTGCACCATTTGGCTCCTTCTGCCCTCCAGCGTGCCCCATCCCATTCACAGTAAGCTTTGAACTCCCAAATCCCCCAGTCTGTCCTTACGCGGCCTCCCAGGGCGTGCAGCACACCCTTGCTTTCATGTGACAAGAATGCCATGCTCTGGGCTGCAGCGTCAGCATGTGCTGTGTGGCAAAGCTGCAGCCAGTCCCTACAGGAGCAGTTGGTGTTGTCAGACAGCATTAACGTGTGGCCAGTCTGGCACTGGCTATGGACTTGGTCTCTTTGGTCTCCAGGTTCCCTCGGCGAGTGGAAAGGGAGAATAATCTAAAGGGCAGCATTGCCTCTTCTTAGTAAATGCCTTCTCGTTAAGAACAGAGACCGTGCTCCCCAGAAAATGTAGGTTTGTCTCTAACCTTTGGAAAAACAATTACGTTATTTCATATTGAAGCACTATCTTGACTTTGTACTGTTCAGTCATCTTTTTGCAATAACTGAGAAGGGTCTGTAGGGAAATGTCCTTGCAGGACAGTTATGCTGCTTTATGAAGGAAGCCGAGAGATTCCTAGGCTTTGTGCTGAGTAAGCAAACTTCAGAAATAGCACACTACAGTGTGTTTGCCCAGAGGCAGTGCTAACTAGCCACCCAGTGCTTTCAGTGCATGTGCTTGTGTATCTGTGTAGCATTGCTCCATGTTGTATGTTGGAGATCTTTGTTGTGTCACGTTGACAAACTCATTTTCTTGCTTTCCTGATTCCATTGGTTCCATTTAATTTGGGAAAGTCTAGTCAGCATGATGCATCCATAAATTGAATATATAAAAACCTACAAAGGTCGTATACAATACTTGTCACATTATTGCAGGTTGACATTCTCATGTTGATCCATACTAGCTGTATCCCGTCACATACCAGAATCCTTGCACTTGTTGTGGTGATCTAATCAGTCACAAATGAGATGCCTTTACCCTTCCAGAACTATGCAGGAAACAAGAGAGTCACTTCATTTTCTGCATTAAAAACTTTTATGGGAAGTCCTCCGTGTCAACAAATAGCAATTCACAGCAAAATATTTGGAAACATATGAACTAATTTTTCCTAGATGGGAATCTCCTTTTTCCTTTGAAGCTCTGAAGTGATTCAGTTCACTTTTCCCAAAGAGAAAATGAAATAAATAAAGTCTGACATGATAATCCTCCCATATCCACAGAATTCCCTGAGGTAGCTCTGAGATTATTACATTTCGTGCAAATGAAAACTGTTTTCACAAGTTTCAACAGCAGGTCACATTTTCATCAGCTCATAATCAGTAAAATATATGCATAGGTGTTTGTAGATGCATATATTGTTTCTCAGTTTTGAATCCATGAAATATGAGTACTAGTTTTTATTTATACATGTATTATGGTTATCAGTGTGATTTTAAGATACTGTCTCTTGAAGGATTGACTTGGATTCTTCAAGAACCCTAAAACATTCTGAATGAATTTCATATGATTTTTATTCCTACAGTTTGTGAAGATTTTATTTGTAATTCATTATTCTCCACACTTTGAGTGCTTCCAGTAGTGTTTTTGGCTCTGCAGTGAGATCCTATTGTGCCAATGTGAAACCTTTTACGTCAGTGGGCCTCCAGCGAGAAGAAACGTCATCAGACCTCAGTGCAAGGCAGGGCCTCCATGTTTAATGGTTGTACAGGATGTTTTTGTGCATGGATCAAATTGCTGTTAAGTATTTTCACAATAAGTAGAATTTTTTTCACATCAGTCGAGATATTTGTGAGATGATTTCAAAGAGCAAGCAGGGTTACATGCTACAAAAAGTCAAACACAAAGTTGGAAAATTTCACTTTTCCATGCTATTTCAGGGGGATTGTTTTCCTTAATGTCTACCTTTAGTGGATATTGCTTTAAGTAAGACCTAACCTTAGTACAATGGACAAATAGCCCAGGTTACATTCAGACTAGTGAATGTTTTTTCTTTCCTCCGCAGACAGTAGTTCCTTCCATGAGTATAAGAGCAATCTAAAAGGTTATTGTGTAGAGTGAGGGAAGAAAGTACATTACAGATTAAGAGAAATAATTGCTAGGTGTGTTATGGAAATAAATTGAAGTTGGATAATGAGGGACAGTGGGTTCTTTTTTTGTTTGTTAGCCTGTGTCGTGGTTTAGCCCCAGCCAGCACCTAAGCACCACGCAGCCGCTTGCTCACTCCCCCTACCCGTATGGGGTGGGGGAGAGAATCGGAGGAGTAAGAGTGAGAAACACTCCTGGGTTGAGATAAGAACAGTTTAATAATTGAAAGAAAGTAAAATAGTAATGATAATAATAACAATATAGTAATGATAATTATTATAATTATTATTACCAGGACAGCCTGGTATTCCTAAAAAAGATTTTCTTTCTAGTATACTTTAGATAAATAAATATAATTTTGTTCCATAGAGCTGAAAACATTGTTGTGTCTTGAGAATGAATGAAACATAGTTATACTTTATAATAAGAAAAAAAACTTCGCATGCAAGTATCTCTGTATATATGTTTAATATTTGATGCCTGCCAAAACTGTCTAACCTGTCTGGAATGTAATAGTACACAATTTTGTGAGTCTTAACCACATATTTTTGTCATCTTAGCATTAATACTTGCAATTAAATCTTATCTATCATTCTACCCTGTTACCTCTTCAGCAAATGTGCACATTTTTAGGGAAAAAAAAGATTAACAAAGTTAAAAAATAAGGTCTTTTTTTCAGCTTTCTCCAATTTCAATGTTTAGTGTGTAAATGTGTATTACATGTTATATTTAAAGAATGAGAGCTCATGAGCAACTAAATTATTTCTACAAATCTGTAAACTCTAATAATGAAGTTTAAAGGTTTTTGAAGCCTTTGAAGCAAAATCCCAGTTGTAATGGAAGTTTTACACACACGTGGAATGAAGATAGGAGGTTCTAATAGGGAAAGCGTTGCTAATACTTTAGCTATTTGTATACTGTCAATCCAATTTTACCTTTATTGCTATCACAATTCCTGTCAAACTACGTTATTTTGCTTTTTTTTTTTTTTTTTAAGACACAAATGCACTGGTACTATGTAATTTATGAGAACTCAGGATACCAACAAGTTCTTCTCGAAAGTATTTGGTTGCTATCTTCCAGCAAAACACCTGTGCAGATCTGAGTGTGGGGAAGATGTGGTGTGTTACAGACTTAGCTCAAGGGAGTGCTTCATACGATAATGAGTGGAAGTTACAGGGAGGAGTGAGAGAGCTATCGTATCTCCTCAGCTTCAGATAGCCTAGGCAGCTGATGACCCTTGCTGCCAAAAAACCTGCCCTGGAGACTCTCAGCACGGCAGATAGAGAGGGAAGCAGCACTAGAGGCCACGTAAGCTGGGAGCGGGAGCTGGGTCATCTTTGTAGAAGAGTTGTCTGACAGAGTTTGGACTGCTGTGTGGAAATGCCAGCTTGTTTGCCTTTCTAGTTCTGCTCAAAAGTTTTGACAGGTTTGAGATGTTCCTGCAAAATGCTTAGATTCAATTACAGCAGCTTTTTTTCAATACAATAGTGCTGTCAAGAAATGTTCAGCTATTGAATTTCTTTGGAGTGATTCCTCAAAATAGATGTTTTTAAAACAGTTTTGTTTGTTTCTTTGTTTTCCCACTTCAGAATAAAATTTGGGAATGAAAACAAAAATTTTGCTTATTTCTCAGAGGTACCAGTGTTCTATAATGGTTCCTTACACAGGGGGGCTCTTCTCCACAAATCTGTGTATCAAATTTGTCTTTCATTTAAGAACTCATCCAGTTGTCAATCTCTCTTAAGGTCATGGACTCTCCTCAGTTTTAGTAATCCTTATGGGAAATGGGCCACATGTTTATTGTGTTTGGTATGCACTGTTTCCTTTTTTTTATTTTAAGAAATATTGCCATCTGTTGTTTTCTAGATTATTTTTTTAATTGATCTTTTTTTTTAAAAAGAGAAAAAATACTGTAATACTATCAAAAGCTTTAAGCGAGATAGGGCTGAAATTAGGTTATCTTACCATCAAATGCTCTTATGTAGAATTCTCTTTCTTTTCATTACAGCCTCTGAGCACATTCTTAGTCACACTCAGTTACCATCCATTATTCTGCTAATCTGGAGTAATGGCATGGTGGCAAAGCAGAAACAGAGTTAACACAACAGCTAAAGCAATTACATTGTAAAAATACACCATGCCCATATGTGGAGAAGAAAAACTTAGTGATGCTTTTGACAGTAGAGTACAGTAAGCTGAGCCAGGGCTGCCCAGCACAGTTATGTGCAGTAGACACCCAGAGCAGAGAGTCTGTCTAGCCATGTTCAGGTAGCTCATAGTACTGGCTTGACATGAGCTGGCCTGCTCAGATGTCATGGGGCCAGTTCCCTGCAAGGATAATAAAAGATGTGTTTTTCTAAATCTAATGCTTGAAGATAAATCCAACTTCCATGTTAGTATGAGTAGGTATATCACAAGAAGACAATAAATAATCTTTTCTTCTGTTATTTTCAGAGCCAAATTTTGTGTCATCTTATGACATTGGGAACTTCACCTACTTCTTTTTCCGGGAGAATGCGGTGGAACATGACTGTGGGAAAACAGTCTTCTCTCGTGCTGCTCGGGTATGCAAAAATGATATCGGTGGCAAGTTCGTGCTGGAGGATACCTGGACTACCTTCATGAAAGCTCGGCTGAACTGCTCTCGCCCTGGAGAAATTCCATTTTACTACAACGAACTACAGAGCACTTTCTTCCTGCCAGAATTGGACTTGATCTATGGGATTTTTACCACTAATGTGTAAGTAAATTCCATGATATAGTTTATTTTCTTGCTATTTGTGACAGAAAAAGCTAAAGCTTCTGAGCTGCTGTCTTCTGCATATGCCAACTAACCATCATAAATTCAAACTATTCTTTTGCCCAATCCATTGTCCTCTTGTGAACAAATGCTTCCCACATGAACTGTTGAAAGCATATGAAAGAAGAAAGAATTCTTAATATTGCCTTACAGCAGGGAGCCAGTTGTGTTTAAGACTATTCAGTCATCTTTTTCATAAATTTGTATAAAAACATTATTTTTTATTTTGTACACTGTTGTAATACATAAATACATTATGTATTTATGAAATAAATATTTTATAATTGTAATGTCACATGGTGATGAATTTGACATGATGTAATTTGACCATGTCAGGAAGCGCTTACCTTACCGAAAAGATCACAAGAAGTGCTCTTACATATTGGAAATTAGTACTAACATATACTCATGTGAGTTTGAGGGTCAAAAACCAAAAATCTAATCTAATTTTAACTGAACTTGTTATACCAACAAAGTAAAATTAAAAAATATGCAGTTTGGTCTTAAAAATTAAAATCTGTTAAATATTAAAACATTGGATGGACATAAAAGGTCCCTAGACTCTGACCTTGATATCAAGACTTGCTTAACTCTTGAAAGAAAAAGACATTCATCTCAGAAATATCCTTTGTTACTTTAATCATGATAACTGGAGTTCATGTGTTGCTCACTAAGAGCAGCCCATGCGTTATGGGTGTGCGGCCTAGTGTTCAGACCACTGGTACAGGAAATTGTATGTTTTGCCTGGGTGATGTTTATTCCTGTTTATTCCTCTAATGGGGTATCTTGTAAAGTGTGCAGTCCAAGTTGTTTTCTCTTGATGGGTTTCTGGAACTTGCATTCTTATTGCTGTACAACGTTTCTTGGAAGATGGGATTTTTGTGGAGATGTCTTAGCCAGGGGTTCCATAGGGTCCAGAGACATACCGTGCGTTGAAAATCCTTACTTCTGTCATGCTGCCATTGGCTGTATAGAAGAAACATTAATGAGCCCTGAGAATAGTCTCATCCTGAACTTTGTAACTAGAAGAAAGGTGTCCCTGATGCACGTGATTATGGGTGGGAGTAAAGTACAGCCTTGTGGTATTAGAGCAGCAGCAGAAGATAGGAAGTTCTGAGTTTCTCCCACACCAGCTACTTGGCAAGGCTGACAAAAAATTTAAATCCAATATCTGTGCCTAAATCAGCACATCATACATCATTACCTTGAGATACCATCTCCTGGCTGATCCTATCTGCTTTGTTAATTACTTGAAGGATTGGAGAATTACTGCCTTTTTATTTTGCAGCAAATGGACTTCTTAATGTTGTTACTTAGGTTAATGTTTATATTTCTTTTGCAGGAACAGCATAGCAGCCTCAGCGGTTTGTGTTTTCAACCTGAGTGCCATAACTCAGGCCTTTAATGGACCCTTCAAATACCAGGAAAACTCTCGCTCTGCTTGGCTTCCATATCCCAATCCTAACCCTAATTTTCAGGTACAGATACATGGGAGAAGGACAATAGTTTACATGAGGTTTTTTCAAAGTGCTCTATGGTTCATAGTTAATCAGTCCAGTTCTCCAGTATGTTATAGCCTAAGACCTTAAAAAAATTATGAAAAAAAAAAAAAAATGCTTAAGAGGTCTCCTTATTTCAACATACTTAATTTTATCCTTCTACAAAATAATTTGGGTTGAAAAGCAGATGTGCTTTGAAGGGTAGGAGAAAAAAGGCTTAACTTCAATCTTCTGTCAAAATGAAACACTATAGTTATCTGTCAAGGTAACAGTAATTCCTGGCTGAAGTATGATCAAACAGCTATTCTCTTTTAAATTGTATTTGTACTGTTAGAACCTGAAAAAGGAACATTGACAGAAAAAACAAAAGGCGGGGTGAGGGGTGTAAAGGAGGAGTGGCCAGGATTTTGTATATTTTCCTGTGCAAGGTGGTCCACACTCCCTGAAGAGTCAGATTAAAACAGTTTGTGACATGATGTGCCCCGCATTTGAACTTGTCATCCTCAGAGGGTGTAATAATCTGCAGTTGGCTGACAGCGTAAAACTAATTAGTTCAAAGTGGGTCACTCAGTGGAACTTTCTACAAAAAGAAAGGGGTATTTCAGGTAAGCACATACGCATTATTTTCTTCTGCATAGTCACCACTCCTACTAGGACAATTTTAGTGAGTGTGATTCTAGCAAGGGAAGTGGAAGGGAAAACAGCATTAATTTAGTGCTTAACAACAACAGCTTTTCACCAAGATACTTAAGTGTATCCACCTTTCACCACCTTTGACCATCCCTTAATCTCAATGCAGTTTCATGGGTTCAGTGCCTTCCCTATCTTCTTGTAAGGGTCATGAGATCTTTGCAAGCATGAAACACAATCACCCATTGGGGATTGTAGGTAGTTTTAATTACTTCCTGATTTATGCAAGCAAAGGAAAATAAGGCACTGAATTTGCTCTGAATTACAGGCCAGAGCCATGTTACCTTTCCTAAATAGTATGTTTGGCATTAGCCCCATGTGACAAGACACCATTTAAGCCATATTGCAGAAGCAGGCTATATTTGTATATAGGTTTTGACATATTGTAGAAATACTTGTATTGTTGAAATAGTGACAGTAAGGGGGTCTAAGTGAGGCTAAATTTTTGAAGGAGAAAGCCTGAAGATAAGCTTGTATGTAAAAATCTTTTTTCTGACTAGTTGAGCAAGTCCAATAAAAGTTATTAACCTCTCCCTACAAACCTTGTATTAATGTGTTGATAATTATTGTGAGAGCACCGCATACAGAATGGTACATACAAACAAAGATGACAGCCTGATGGTTGTGTAAAAACAGTTTAAGTCTCTACTGTACTGTCAGCGCTGATCTCTAAATCCCAGTCAAGACAGAGGTGTTGAAGAAATTTCTTGCTTGGATAGTCTGGCTGATTTTAATATGGCTGGTACTTCATCAAATTTACAAGAACAGTGGCAACAGTTGTATCATATCTCATTGAGCAACAGCTTTGCAGGCCAGTGCAAGTGCTAAAAGCTGTAACATGGCCTTTTACAACACAATATTGAAGCCAATTGACATTAACTGATCTCTAAGTATCATTAGTGATATCGACCTTCTGTTCTTTGCAGGTGCTGTCTTTTATTATGTTGAAATTTCTGTTAGATTTCTGGCTCCATAACTGCAGCACTGATGTATACCAGAAGCTAGTCTAATGCTTAGAGCTAGGTGTAACCATTTTTTGTGACGTGATGGTGCATTAGAGTACGTACTGCCCATAGATGGGGTATATTCATTGGCTGAGTCACTGGTTTCCTTCCCAGAAAGGAAGACTTTTCTTTTGTAGAGTGCTTGTGGTAAAATATCAGAAGTTCTGTTTGTGTAGTCTCGGAAGTAGATTTATCCTCAGAGTATTCACCTACTCAGCAATAACAGACAGAAGTATGTGGTTTGAAGGAAGACTGCTGCTATGTAGTGATAGTTACATCAGACATTGTATTTCCAAGACTGGATTATATTAATGAAATATTTTCCAGATTAGAATACTATTGGAGTCCCAGATTTGAGGAACACTTTTTTTTCTCCAGAGGTTGTTGCTTTTCTCTTTACACAAGATAATTTCCATCGTAAGACCAAGGACCATATGTATTTCAGTGTACTATGAGCATTCCAGCTGGAATCTTTCCTTCATGATAGATTCAGAGACATTCTTCTTTGGAGCAGTTTACTTTTTTCACTGGCCTGACATGCAGGGTGCTCACAGAGCAAGTAATTGTTTCCTGCCAGTTGCTTAACTGTCTTTCCTCGTCATATGATCTCTCATTATGAAATTATTTATTTGAGTTTTTCTTAACATTTGTGGATTTGGAATGATCATTTAATTTCAGTTTGAAAACATGGCAATAATGAAAAAAATAACTGGTAGGGTTTTGCACACTGTATTATTTTGTTGATGCTGTAACTCACAGCATAATTTATGACCTAGTAGAATAGAATGAAAAAGTATGACTTAGGTATGTCTTTCACATCACCAACATATTTGATAAATGCTGTGAAGTACTGTTTTAATTCTCTGATGCAATTATGCATGAATAAACACGTGGATGTTTACATATTCACATGTACTAAGCATCTTTCTCTTTTGTGTCCTCAGTTAGTTGAAGACTTAAACACAAAGATGCTAAAATTAACTGCCACTTATTTTGCTTTGTTTATTTGTGTTTGAAATTTGTGCATGCAATTAGTGAATGTTTGCATGTAAGGAAAGAGTACAGTTTTCAGATATAAAATACAGTCAGTTCCAAAGCAAAAATGTCTTTGCTGTGGATAACCCTTTATAGTTAGAGCTCCACACTGTCCATTCTTGGCTAGTGAATGCATGGTCTGAAGAAGCTGGTAGCACTGTGCATGGTGCTGTAACCTGGGATTTCTGTCAGACCCTGGCTGTGGTAGGACATGGGCTTTCCTTGAAAAATGTTATGTCTTTAGCACTGTGTTTGTGTAAATTATAAAGAAAACTATTCAGAAAATTCTGTGGTTTGTTGGCTGGTAGTTTTTCTCCTTCCTGCCCTGGGACCATAAGGATATAGCAAAATATTACTATAGCCCACTTGTGGTGGTCAGTCTTGTGCCCTTCCATATTGTTTAGATTTAGGGAGCCTCCACAGTACTGCTTCAGGAAAGTGGAGCTTCCTCAATCACTGTGTGGACAGTATGGTCAGCACCAAAATGAGACCTGAAAGTGGAATTCCAGACTGTCACTACAAGATATACTCTTGTTTTTTATTTTCGTGTGCTGTAAATCAGAGAGTAAATCTATTGTTATTGACACATACAGTAATGTTACTCTTCTGTGTTTACAGTGTGGCACCATGGACCAGGGTTTATATGTAAACCTGACTGAGAGAAATCTTCAAGATGCTCAAAAATTCTTCTTAATGCATGAGGTCGTTCAACCAGTTATTCCAATTCCTTACTTTATGGAAGACAACAGCCGATTTTCCCATGTGGTTGTGGATGTTGTGCAGGGCAAGGACATGCTTTTCCATATCATCTACCTTGCCACAGGTATGATTTCTGCATTGCTGTGATAACTGCAAAAGTTTATGAGGTATACGAGTTTTAAGGTTCTGTGAATCAGTTATGGAATATGTATAGTGCACCTTGAACAACAGCTTTTCCTCTTTGACAGCATTAACTCTACCTTCTACCTTTTCTCAGTAGATGAATTCAGCAGTTCACAATGTCTTTGTATTATATTGTGAACTCAAATTTTGGTGTCTGTTTCCTATTCTCCTTTGAAGGTATGAAGCCTGCATGCTCTTGAGGGAGTGAATGGTTGGAAATTCTACAAACAGGACTTCACAAGTTTCTCTTTTATCCTTTTTATGTAGTTCAGGGTACAATCTTGCCCAAGATAAGATGGTTTAGGGTCCTCTGAGATAGAAGTAACTACAAATCGGAAATACAATTACTGCTATTGCTATTTCTGACTTTTCTGCTCATAAATATTTTATTACCTTTCCTTTTCATTTCAAGTAATTCATTACGCAGTTTTACACCCTGCATTATTATTTCTCCATTTATATGTGAGCTTAGCAATGAAAGGAAAATAATCCTACACCTAAAATTACTTTGGTTAGAAGTATTGCTTTCTTGGTTCAAAATTTCAAGCTTCTTAAAAATAGCAAGGGTGTCAGAGAACTGTTTTTGCAGAAAAGGATATCCACAGCTGAGACTGAAATACTAGGTTGGAGTAACATGTTTAGAGCCTCATGGCATAAGACTTAGGGTAGTTCTCAAATACTTACTCCCATGAACATTAGTAGGGGATAGCTCATCAAAGCAATGGTTTGTTAATGTGCATAGTTTGTCTCACAGTGAGTAGGCACCAAACACGGTAAGTTTAGGGAAAGAATCTGTTGAGCAACAAGAGGAAAAAAAATCCTAATCCTATTTATTACATCTTGCAATCGAAGTAAATTTCAAAATTGTCATTGATTCAGTAGAAACTGGATCAATCCTTTTAATTACTATAATTGTGATTTACTAATGAAAATTGTATATTCTATAGCTTATCATTTATCAAGAGCCCCCCCCAAAAATTGTGCATTGTGATTCAATATATTATTTAATTTTCCCTTGAAAGCATGATACCATTTTTCAGAGTTTGAGTCTGAAGAAATTTTATAGTAATTTGGTGCATTCAAGTGAGACAGTATTTCTTTGCATATTATTCTTGTAGCTTTCTCATTGTGCTCCTTGACAGATAGGCAGTAATATCAAAGTTTTTAATAAGTTAAAACTGTGCTTGGATTTGACCAGTTGTAGTCAAAACAGCCTGCTGGTTGGTAAATCATAGCATTTTAAGTGAAATCTTGCCAATACTAAATGCTGTTTGTATTGTAGAGGTCTCCTGACAGAAACTGAATTACAGAAACATGTACTGAATTGGTTTTATATGAAGAGACTATCACTGCATTATGGGATATTTACATTGCAATGACAGTGCAGAGAATGATGTCATTTGTCATAATTCTAATTGTTTTCAGTTTTCCTTACTGTGTTTCCTTTTATGTTTGATTCAGTGAGGATCTAAAACGTTACATTTCATGGTTCATTAATAAATTGTGTTCAGTAAAGGTTCTAGGTTATTTTAATGCATCTTTCTTGCTGCTAAAAAGATATAGCTCCTATACTCCTTATGATGTATACTTCCCTTCCACTTTTATTCTTCCCTGTACGTCTGGTTTTAGTTGTTCATGGAAGTAGGATACTACTTTAGCTGGTTCTTTAGTCTGACTCCAGCACATGCTTTTATGTAATCAGACAGTGTATGTTTTATAAGTGTGAGAAGCTGTATGGTGAAAACCCCAGGTTACAATATAGCGTTCTTGAAGTTTTCTTGACAGAGCCAATTTTATTTCACTTCTATTTCACTGAATCACAGTGGCTTTTGTTAACATTCCTTCTGCCCCTCCCCCCAACTGAGTGTAAGTACTAAGCTTTATTTTCCATGGAATATTAATACTCACTTTTCACAGAAATTACCTTTTTGGTAGATTTTGAGATTACCACACACGTTTATATATAAATACCATACCTACAATACATAAGGAAAGTTTAAAAATCCCAAGATATACCAAAATACAGTGTCATTTACTTAAAATCTTATGATTTGAGGAGAAAGGCAGTATTTTTACCTTCTTTGGGGTGCAGGTCATAATTTTAATTTCATGATATTGGCAATAATGCAGCATCTTAGTTCTCCATAGTCCTGTCTCTGCTTGTGTAGAAGCTGTGAAGCAGTTAGCATTGAGTTTGCATCCTAAACTACATGTGCTAAAAGATTAGAGAAAATACCACTGCTTCTGTAAACAACAGAAACAAAAAGGCAGCAGCCTTAGCTTTGGAAGCAGACCAAGTTTAATAGTTTTGAATTCATCCAGCGTCGGGCCTTACTCCTGCATACAATGTCATTTACCCCAAGCTCCTAACACTATAAAGCCTGTGTATGTTTGGGAGAGGTGGCAGAGCGGGGTTGAAGAGCGGGGTTACAGTCACTACCAGACTGAGAAACGTTGCCATTATTGTATCTTTTCTGTTTAATTTACTTGCAATATTAAAAGTGGTGGCAAATTAAATCTGGAGTTAAATTTTTGCCACAATGCTTCATCTTCAAAAAAAGCCAGAGGAACGATCTGGGAAACAGTGGGCCGATTTACATTCAGTCCCTGGGAAAATGAAGGAGCATACCTCCTTGGAGCACACTTCTGTGCTCACATGATGAAGAAGGTGGTGATTGGGAACATTAAGTATGGATTTCCAAAGGGTGAATCACACCTGACCAACCTGATTACTTTCAGTGGTAAAATAACTGGATTTGTGCATGAGGAGAGAGTAGTACCTCAACTTTAGCAAGTCTCTTGGCACTGTCTTCTACAATGTTCATATATCCAAATAAGGATGTATGGTCTGTATGGGTGGATGACTGGATGTATAAAACCTGCTTGGATGTCAGGCTCAGAGGGTGGTTGTTAATGGAATGTATACAAGTGGTAGGGAGCTGAGCACTGTCCTGTTTAATCAATGACCTGGAGGAGACAACAGATGCACCCTGTCAAGTGTGCAGATGACACCAGACTGTAGTTACACTGGAGGACAGTGCTGCCAACCAAAGAACCTAGACATGCTGGAAGGATGGGCTCGCAAGAACCTCAGGAAATTCAACAGGTACAAATATGAAGTCCCAAACCTGGGAAAGACTAACTCTGTGCAATGATTGAGGCTGGGGACTGACTGTCTGGGAAGGAGATCTGCTGAAAGAACTTGGGGACTTTGGTAGACAGCAAGCTGAACATGAGCCAAGAGCATGTGCTCACAGCAAAGAATGTCAGCAGCATCTCAGGCTATGTTAACAGGAATATAGCCAGTAGGTCAGGGGAAGAGATTATCTCCATGTACTCAACACACTTTAGACCACATCTAGTTTTGGCCTCCCTCTAATATAAGAAGAATGTTGATAAAAAGGAGCAAATTCAGTGGAGGGCCACTTTCTGTTGGGGACTGGAGCACCATGCCCTAGGAGGAGAAGCTAAGGGAACTGGCCTTGTTCATCCTAGAGGAGAGAAGGCTTCGGGTGGGGATCTAGTAACAGCCTGAAAATACCTACAGGGAGTTTACATGAAGAATGGAGCTAGGCTCTTCACAGTGGTGCATGGTGGGAAGACAAGGAACAACAGGCAGTTTCAGACTGGATATAAAGAAAAACTTTTTCACTCCAAGGACAGTCAAGCACTGGATTGGATTTCCCAGAGAGTTTGTGCAGTCTCCATCCTTGGAGGTTTTCAAGACTAGACAGTAGCCTAGCCTATGTTATAGCTAGCTGTCCTTTGAGCAGGAGGTTGGACTTGAGACTTGTCACTTCCAACCTAAATTATCCTCTGTCCATCGTATGCCGATACAATATGCAAATTGGTTGATCTAATTTACATTTTTACTCAACCCTGTGATAATAGATATCATTGTACTTTCTGTTGCCAAAAGGGAGGTGCATTCAACTCTAATAGAAGTACTGCCAGTATGTAATTTACACCTACTGGTGTACAGCAGGATGGATCCAACCCATGCTGTGTGAGATGTACTCTGTATAACTTTTGTAGTTATAATTCATTACAACATTCTTACAAAAATTGTATTTTGAAATGCACAAAGCTGATTCAGTGGAAAGAAAGGCATATAGATTGGATTGAATACAAATGAATGCTCTGCTGTTACTCAAAGCAAAAATCCCATTTTTTGAAGCAGATGGGCAGTAGTTAAGAGGAAATTCTCTCTTCCCCCCCCTCACATTCACTTACCTATCCACTCTGTTATTAGAATACAAATATTACAGAGGAGAATAACCCTGACAGTATAAAAGTATAATATAATTTAATTAAACCTTAAATAGATATAATATTACTTGAGGAAAGATTGGGAGTAAGCAAACAAATGCATTAATCTACTCTGTCAACAGTCTTCATTTCCTAAACCTTTGCCAAGTCATCATTCTGCTAGGAGATTCTGATGTGCTGGGATTTAACAGCTACTGCTCATATCAAAAATACACTTTAGTACTTTGGAAACACATCTTAATCTTTCGCTGCACTGACTTCTAACACAGAATGAAGGGATATATCAATTCCTGCACATTTTGTGTTGCTTAGAGCTAGCAGTGCTTCTGGCTTTAGGCAGGCAGAAATCCCTGAAACAATTTTCAGCAATTCAGAAAGGAAAGTCAAGGAAAGCATTCACAGAAGTTCTGAACTACAAATCATCTATAATAGTAAGTTAAAAGTAGAGCAAGCTAGAGAATAACCGAATATTCTGACAGCTTTTCAAGTTTATAAGACTTCCTTCTTCATTAAAAAAAAAATTCAAAGCAAAATGGTGCTATGTATGTCATAGTTTTGTTTCCCTCCTTTTTGTCCCTTTTTTCCCCCTCCCATTTCTCCCTTTTATTTCTCCCTTTCAATTTAAATGCCCAGATGTCCCATGGCTACAAACTTTGCCAGTGTCAAAAGGTC